ACCCCCGGTTTGGTTAAAATTTTTAAAAAAAAAAAAAAAAAAAAAAAAAAGTTACAAATACTTATTTTGACAGTCAAAATATGCCCTACTCTTGGGTGAGCAAAAGTCAGTTGTTTGGGGGTACTGAAGGGAGCAGTTTAGAGCCACATAGCACACATTGCAAGTTAGGGAAAAAAGGCCAGAATTGTTTCACAATTCTTAGTGCTGCTTTTCAATTAAGCCAATATTCAGTGACACAAGTACCCTTGGTGTCTGATAGCTGCCAATCCCTGTTTCCAGTCCCTGGTGAGATAATAGAGAAAAATGTTTAATGCTACAGATTTACACACCTTCTTAACTTTCCACAGTGAATAGTTTCATTGACCACAGTGAAACTATGTAGGAGGTGTAAAGCTAAACATGGAGGTTTTAAGTCTTTGCAAGATTTTAGTTTAAATCCCTCTGTTTTAAATGGCACATAATAAATCCTTCAAGAATTGGTAATGTCATCCAAGCAGTATGCTTCCTGCATAATAAAGCATTTATCTGAAACCCAGCCACCAAGGAACACTTGTGTATATACCTTTTCTTCCTCTTGGAATATTACTTGATGTTTGACCACTGTTTCTTCACCTAGTTTTAGTGAATGATGTAAAAATACTAGAAACGTGAAGCGTGGTTGGTGCAAGGATTGTGATGTTATACTACAAAATGGTCTGAATATGTTATTTTTGGTTCTTAATGCTTTTGAAGCACTTCCATGAATTAGATTTCAGTTTACTTATAAGTGATGGTTTCACAGCTAAAAATGCTTCAGTTTAGAGAGACTTTAAGCCCTAGCCTCTGTCTTGATGCAGCGCATGAATCATTGCAATTATGGCAGCATAGACAGGCACTAGTCCATCAAGAAACTGAACTGAGATCATCAATTTGTTTGACAAAGTATTTTCAGTTTTCCAGTTACCACAGTGAGCCCATGTTTGCCCTGGTAATCACAATTTTCTAGGTAACTCTTTTCCCCATTATTTGTCACTGTTCACAAATCAAGTTGTGGTTTATATCCTGAACATGCTACGTACTTGCATGTTTGCCCACTGCCACAGTGCTCTGCTGGTGGCTATCTTTGAGGACAACCTTGGAGACAGGCTCAGTATAAGTAAAATGAAGGAGGCTGTGCTTCATCACTCAACCATTCAGCCTTTCTTGCTGCTTAGACTGCAGTTCTGGACGAGCCCTCACTGCCTCCCACTGCATAATGCACTTAGTTGCAGATGAATGTGTCCTAAAACCTCACTTAATAACAGAAGCAGCCAGTTTTATGCATTCATTGCGATACTCTCAAGTCTCTCTTCCTTTCTATTAATGGCTGGGAAACTTAAGTTGGGGATTTGAGCTGCCTGCCCTACTCTACAACTGAGATTTGGTAGAGAGTCAGGAGCTCAGGAGTGCCACTCAGCCATACACTTGCAGGGTACATCCAAAACCTATCATTTTTGAATACGTGATGTTACCCAAAAGACCTCTAAGATTTGTTGACTATCTAGTTTAAAGATGTTTTTCATGGGAATTTACCCACCTCAGGTATCAATGGCACTTAGAATTTTAATAAAGGATGTGAACATAAACCATATTTTGACTTTGCAGACTGAACTGGGTGAAAATATTATGTCATACCCTAAACTGTGTTGCTAGCTATTCACAGTCCCTTTTTCTGAATTGATATCAATTATCAGATAAGTTATTTTGTTAGTCAGTCAATCAGTCAGGTTTCCTTAACATCCCAGTATTCCAGTTTCTGCCCTGTTCCCACTGAATTCCGTGACAACTTTGCTATTGGTTTCAGACAGTATTGCAGAAATCTGCCCATTCTCACATGGATTTCCCTTGCTTAGGTATACATTTGGGTTAATGCCAGAAAACAAGCTGTAGAATAAGAAGTCACAATTCTGGAGAAGGATTGCTGAGTGCAGCCCTCAAGCAGCAACCCCCATGCTGTTTACTTTAGGTTTATGGTGAAAGAGCACAACTAAAGAGGATAAGCCTCGCTGTGCAACGTGCCAGAGTGCTTGAGAGGAGTGAAGGCTGCTGCAGGATGGGGAACTATGTGAACTGCTGAAAAGCAACAGGAAACTGTGAAGAGTAAAAATGCTTTACCTGACAGCAGAATCAAAAAGTTCTAGAACCAAAGGACGGTTGAGTTTGAAAGGGTCATCTGGTCAAATCCCGCACACACCCAAGAAGGGCCATCTATAGCTGGTTGCTTGGGATGGGCATATCTGGAAGTTTCTTTCATGTCCATTGCCTCTGGAGCTGTCACTGTGCACCACTGAAAGAGTCTGTCCTCCTTGCACCCTTCCTTCAGTTTTACATTGATGAGATATGCCCTGAGTCTGCTCTTCTCCAGGCTCAACAACCTCAGCTCTCATCCTCTCCTCAGAAGCACGGTGCTCAGAAGGAGCTTAGAGAGGCAAGAATACAGAAAAAGTAAGTGATGATCGGTGTGAGCAGAAGCTGGAGCAGAGCTGAGTGAGCGGCTGCAGAGGGGAAGTTATGTCTGCCACTGAAGTAGGAACTAAAGGAAAGTTAAAGACTCCTTTTCCTACCATCATTGCTCTTCCTGAATCTTGCCTGTGAGCAGACAACCATGGATCTTCTGAATAAGGAGAAAGAAGGAATATTTAAAGAGGGTGCACACTTATAGCACACTTCTTATAGCACACTCCAGTCATGCTCCTGAAGTCTTCTTGCTGCAGTATGCCCTGACTGATGAGCACTAAAGTAGAAGGCTTTACTGCGAGCAGCATGCATCAACCAAGGATGTACAGAAGAAACAGCTATATTGAAGCAGAATCTGTCCTCAAAAATGCATATTTAGTATGGTCCCAGAATGAAGTCAGTGCATCCAGGCACTGGAAAATATTCACATGCATCAGTTTTTCCACTACTAAACAGCTTTTTCTGGCTTTAACTGCAACAATATATATCCTAACAAATATTATGCTCACAGGAAACCCATTTTTCACACAGGACTAATTTCAGTATGATGAATTTAAGCATATGAGTGATTTTGGAAATCAGAGGTTTCCCTGAAGCATCTTGTATTTTTGGTTTTTCCAAAGAAATGAAAAGAAAGCAGTGGATATACATTCTCTATGGTGTTTACACCTGCAAATCCTTCCAGAATGAGGAAAATACACTCCTCAAAACTTTAGATCCCTTCCAAAGCCAGTCATAGGCTTCACTCTGACCTCAATATTAAGGCTTTATGCTCTGAGTAGATTGCTAAGTTTATGTTGGTATTATTGGAAGTATCATCTCTAAATCGCAGTTCTTTGCAGAAAGAATATACTACTTCAGAGGTCTTATTTTACAGAGACTTGAAAATCTGGTACTTGACAACCCACTACTGATGACAGTTACCTCTACTCATGGGTCATTTACTGTAAAAGAAGTTTAAGAATGTATAAATAAGTCTGTACAAAAGGAAAAAACAAACTTTACTAGGCTCTTAGGCACAACAGTTTCTCAGTCTTTTCATATTGGTCCAACAAATTTCTTAACTGCAGTAAAAAATAACATCCTGTACACCCAGATTACAGCAAAGTCAACACCTAAGAATAATTTAAATTATCCAGACTCCATGCACTGTATTTAACTTAAACTAGATAGGAGAAAAATAGTCATGACAGCTAGAATAGAACTTTTGTTGGTACACCACTGTTTTGTTA